GATTCACTTTGTTATAAAGCAGAAACTAACACCATTATAAAGCAATTATACTCCAATAAAGATGTAAAAAAAAAAAAAAAGAATAAAGTCACATTGGAAACCAGTGTGCTTGAAAAGAGTGAAGGAATCTGAGCAAAATCCAGATAGTGTCTGCTACAGCCAGGCCACTGCAGATCCTGAGTTGGTGCTGTATAAAGCTTTAATTGGATGCAAGTTTTTTTTGTTTTGTTTTGTTTTGTTTTTTTCGGTACACGGGCCTCTCAGTGTTGTGGCCTCTCCCGTTGCGGAGCACAGGCTCCGGACGCGCAGGCTCAGTGGCCATGGCTCATGGGCCCAGCTGCTCCGCGGCATGTGGGATCTTCCCGGACCGGGGCACGAACCCATGTCCCCTGCATCGGCAGGCGGACTGTCAACCACTGCGCCACCAGGGAAGCCCTGGATGCAAGTTTAAAGCTTAGTTTTATTTTAGACTGCACTTTAGAGACCTGAAATTAAGACTGATCTTATAGCTGAATATATAGGAAAGAAAAAATCCGAGAAAGTCTATTTAGTAACAGTGGAATGACAGTATATGATGCCCTTAATCAGGTTGAGGAATTTCCCTTTAATTTCTAGTTTTCTATTTTATTTATTTATTTGATTGACTGATTGATGGCTGCTTGCAGCTTATTTTCCACTTGGTGCAAGGCACAGGGTTGTGGGGTATCAGGAAGGCTCTCATGTGTCTTGGATAGTAAAGAGTGGGATTCTCTCAGCTTCCTTTTTAGTGTTTTTTGCTGTTTTGATATTAAAAACCCAACTGCTTCCACTGGCTGCAGCCTGCTTAGCTCGGGGAGGGGAAGGGGGTGGGGGTGGGGTTAGCTCTGATGAGCCTAGTGCCTTGGAAGAAAGCCTGGCAGCTGGTGGTGGCCACTCAGGACAAGGGGGGCAGCAGTTGGTTTTGCCAGGCTGGCCACCAGGCTGCTGCTTCCACATGGCTTCCCGAGCCAGGTCACAGCTGAGCATACCTGTGGAGGCCTGGGCAGATTCCAAGTGCTCTGTGGCCATGAATGGGAGAGTGGACTTCCCGAAAAAGAAGCTAGCCCACCAGTGTCCCGGGTCAGCTCTGGGGAGACTGGGGTGGTGAGAGATGGCTTCCCCAGGGTACTTGGCACTTCCGCAGGAGCTGTTACTGGAACTGGAACCCAGGTGACGCTGGTATTAGTCGTGGATGGCCACCAGAGAGACACTGGAGGGGATGACTGACATGCTCTTGCTTGTGGGCTGGTGGAAACCTTGGCGGCAACCCCTCGCGGGCCTCGGTGAGCAATCGCTGACAGTGGGGACCGGGCCACTAGACCACGGAGCCCATCTGCACAGGAAACCAAAGGTGGCCGCTCCACTATCCAGAAGCGCGGGGCGCGTACGTGGACGCTCCCCATTATATGGCGGCATGGCCCAGTGCCCTGCAAAGCCCCATTGCTGAGAGTTTTTAAAAAAATCATGGTTGGGGACTTCCCTGGTGGCGCAGTGGATAAGACTCCGTGCTCCCACTGCAGGGGCCCTGGGTTGGATTCCTGGTCAGGGAACTAGATCCCACATGCATGCTGCAACTAAGGAGTCTGCCTGCTGCAACTAAGACCAGGGGCAACCAAATAAATAAATATAAAAAAAATCATGGATGGGTATTGAATTTCATCTAATGCTATTCTGAATGATTGATATGATTACATGGATTTTCTTCTTATATTGTTAATATAGTGGACTACACTGATTTTTGAATATTGAGCCAACCTTGCAGTCCTGCAACAAACCTCATTTGGTCATAGTGTGTTATACTTTTTGTTTATTGCGAGATTCAAACTGCTAGTGTTTTGTTGAGGATTTTTATATCCATGGTCATGAGAGATGTTGGTCTGTAGTTTTCTTCTCTTGTATTATCTTTGGCTCACTTAGTAGCAGGGAAAATGCTTGCTTAATAAAATGAGTTGGGAAGGGTTCCCTCCTTTTCTATTTTTCTGGAAAGGATTACATAGAATTGGTGTTAGTTCTTCTTTAAGTGTTTGGTAGAATTCTCTAGTTACACCATTTAGGCCTGGAGATTTCTTTTTTGGAAAGTTTTAAACTATGACTTCAATTTCTTTAACCGTTATGGAGCACTTCAGTTAATTTATTTCATCTTAGGTAAGTTGTGGTAGTTTGTGGGTTTTGGAGAATTGAATAATTTCATTTAAGTTGTTAAAATTTTATGCATAGAATTATTCATAATGTTCCTTTATTATCCTTTTAATCTCTTCTGAGTGTATAGTAATATCCCTTCTTTTATTCCTGATATTAGTAAATTAATATAAAATTAATTTGTTCCTTTTTTTTTTTGGTCAGTCTTGCTAAAGGTTTATCAATTGTATTGATCTTTTCAAAGAATTAGCTTTTGGTTTCACTGATTTTTCTCTTTGTTTTTCTGTTTTCAATTTTATTGATTTCTGTTCTTAGCTTTATTATTTCCTTTCTTCTGCTTGCTTTGGGTTTGTTTTGTTCTTTTTCTAATTTCTTAAAATGGGAACTTAGGTTGTTGACTTAAGATCTTTCTTCTATTTAGGATAAGCATTTAATGTTGTAAATTTCTAAGTATTTTTTTAGCTGCATCCCACAAATTTTGATATGTTTATATTTTAATTGTAGTAATTTCTCTTGAGACTTTCTCTTTGATCCATGGATTATTTAGAAATGTGTGGTTTAATTTTGGGGATTTGGAGATTTTTTAATTATCTTTTTGTTATTGATTTCTAGTTTAATTCCATTTTTATCTGAGGCCTTATGTTATAAAATT